GTTATGACTTGCTTTGTGACCCAGCATGCAATCTGTTCTGGAGAATGTTTCATGTACAGTTAGGAATGTGACACTGTGTTGCTTTTGGGTGAAATGTTTTCTCTGTGTATCTATTAGGTCCATTCGGTCTCCAATATTGTTCAAGTTCTCTGTTTCCTTATTGATCATCTGTCCGGATGTTTTATTCATTACTAAAGGTGGGGTATTTGAATTCCTATTATTATTGTGTTGCTGTTTATTTCTCCCTTCAGTACTATTAATATTTGTTTGATATTTTTGGATGCTCTGATTTTGGGTACATATATTTATAATTGTTAACTATTCTTGGTGAATTAACCCATTTATCGTTATATAATGTCTTTTTCGTCTCTTTTGGCAGTTTTTTACTTAAACCCTATTCAGTCTGATATAAATATTGCTATTACTGGTGTCTTTTGGTTACCAATTGTAAGGAACATCCTTTTTTCATCCTTTCTTAACCTGTGTGTATCCTTAAATCTAAAGTGACCCACTGACTGGGTGCATTGTTTCATGCCGGTAATCCTAGCACTCTGGGAGGCTGAGATGGGTAGATTGCTTGAGCTCACAAGTTTGAGACCAGCCTCTGAGCAAGCATGAGACCCCCATCTCTAAAAATAGCTGAGTGTTGTGGTGGGTGCCTATAGTCCCAGCTACTTGGGAGGCTGAGGCCAAGAGGATCACTTAGCCCATCAGTTTGAGGTTGCTATGAGCTGTAAAGCCATGGCATTCAACCCCAGGGTGACTGACTGAGACACTATCTCAAAAATTAAATAAATAAATAAAGTGACCTACTTGTAGATGGCGTATAATTGGATCAGGCTTTTATCAATCTAGTCACTTTATATCTTTTGATTGGAGAATTTAATCCATTTACATTAAAAATAAGAGTTATTGCTGTTTTGATAATTGTTTTCTGTGTATTGGTAGCTTTTTTGTCTCTCTTGCTCTCTATTTTTTGGAAAATAAATATAGTTTGATAACTTGCTAGCTATGTTTGGAGAATTATAGTTCTTCCTGTTTAATTAAAGCAGATTTGAATGATTTCTATGTAAGGAACAATTTTTCTTGTCAAAGTTATAAAATTGACATTAACAATAAAGTTTATTTATTTGTTCATTTGTTTTATTTATTTTTTTAAAGGCAGAGTCTCACTCTGTTGCCCAGGCCAGAGTGCTGTAGCATGAGCCTAGTTCATAGCAATCTCAAAGTCCTTAGTTTCACCCTACCAACCATAACATTTTAAAGCTCTAATACAAACAGAAAAATGTAGCCTGCTGTTGGTGTGTCTCATCTTTCTTTTTTTATTCTCTCCTATTCTCTGAATTATAATCTTATACATTATTATTATATGCTGACAATTTTGTTTAAAAATTCAGTAGATTCAACTAACTTTTTTTTTTTTTTAATGTCACCCTAGGTAGAATGCCATGGTGTGATAGCTCACAGCAACCTGTAACTCTTGGGCTTAAGTGATTCTCTTGCCTCAGCCTCCCAAGTAGCTGGGATTAAAGGCACCCACCACAACACCTGGCTATTTTTTTTGTTGCCATCGTTATTGTTGTTCAGCTGGCCCAGGCTGAGTGTGAACCTGCCAGCATCCATGTAAGTGGCTGGCACTCTAACCACTGTGCTATGGGTGCTGAGCAGAATCAACTAACTTTTAAGTCAAAAGTTAACTCAGATGTCAGTGAACTCAACAGTATTATTTTGTAGACAAGTTTTTTTTTTAAGATACAGTAATATACGGCTTGGCGCCTGTGGCTCAAGTGGCTATGGTGCCAGCCACATACACCTAAGGTGGTGGGTTCGAATCCAGCCTGGGCCTGCCAAACAACAATAATGGCTACAACCAAAAAAAAAAAAAAAAATAGCCGGGCGTTGTGGCGGGTGCCTGTAGTCCCAGCTACTTGGGAGGCTGAGGCAGGAGACTCGCTTGAGCCCAGGAGTTGGAGGTTGCAGTGAGCTGTGATGCCATGGCATTCTACCCAGGGGGACAGCTTGAGGCTCTGTCTCCAAAAAAAAAAAAAAAAAAGATACAGTAATATTATATAAGAATTCACTTTGTATTTTTATAAAAGTTTTCTTATGGGATTAGTATTACATATTTTGCATTTTTGTTACAATATTCAATGTTTTTGATGAATCTATGCCATTTTATTGTGCATAAATTTCTCAAGCTCTAAGAAACTGAAAAATTATCAGTAATCAGACTGTCTTTTTTTCTCATCCCTTCTAACAAATTTGAAATAATTGCACACATCATACATGTTTTTAAAAATTATAAATCACATTTAACTCTGATGATCTGACTTCTTTTCTGTATAATTGGAAAAAAATACCTGCTAGATTTCTTTTGAGGAAATTTTGTACATTTTACCAATTCTTTGCTTCTCAAATTTTTCATTTCAGCGATTCTCAACCTTGTGGGTCGTGACCCATTCGTTCCATTTGTAACAACGCAGCAATTAGGAAGGTTGAGAACCACTGTTTTAAATAGATTTCTTCTTCTAACCTAATTGTGGAATGTATTTTGGAATCGTTGGCACAGTGGTCTTACTCAAGTAATGTAGGAGGTTATACTCTAGATCTTGAACATTTGTAACCTTCAATATTGGAAGTTGTTGTCTCAGGATAATGGAATCAGAAGAAAAACAGTATAGCATTGGATTAATTCCATTAGGTATTAACAATTATGCAAATTCATGACACATGTCATCTGGTCTTATATCCTCTTGATATTTTTATCCTTTTCTAATCTAGAGAAATTTAAGTTATTTAATAAGTTATTCTGAACATTCTTGACTCTGTAGCATCTTTTTCTTTTAAGACCTAATGCGACTGTTCCAAACATACTGTTGCTCTGAATATTGTCATCAGAGGCTTTTTAAAAAATATTTTCTATGTACTTGTTCAAGACTTTGATTCAGAAACAGTACATGTTCAAAAAGCAGATCTGGTAGCTAGCCTTTTAAATTGATAGTCTTATGTTTTTATGTAATAATATGGTATTATAGGGAATTTTAATCACTGTAATAGCAATCAAATATTTTATTAGAGATTTAAAATTTGCTTTATGATGTTATTAAGAAGTTTATTTTCAAAGATAGATAAGAGTAAAACTGAGGAAATAAATGATCTTATAAAAATTTCTAGAGAATTTTGGGTGGTTTCTTGTAATAACTGAATCATATTACATAGAATTCATGATATGGAACAAGTGGGTAAACAGTTCAACTTAAATCATAATCTCTGCTTCTGGCTTTTGTATTTTTTATTTATTTAGCTCTTTATTATTAACTGCTACTTTCTTTGCATTTGCTTCTTGGAAAGAATACTTAATTCTTTTATTGTCACATTTTAAAACAAATATATGTTAAGCCATTAAGTGTATTTTTCTAAGTGTTGCCATTGCTGCGTGCTACATGTTTTAAAATGTGAGTGCTTTTCTTATCATTCATATCTAAAGATTTCATCAATTCTACTGTGTTTTTCTATTTAACTCACATGTTTTTAAGAATGTCAGGTTTTGTGTTGGGCTTATTTGGTGTTTTCAGACTTACATTATTGCCTTTTAATTTAATATGGCATAACTTTCTACTTGTTGGCTGAGTCTGTTTATATGTTTATTTGATTTAGATTATTAATGATCAGATTTTCAAATAATGGGTCTGTGTGCCTATATACTTACTTATTCAAATAAACTTAATCTTTATTTAAGGACTCATTAGTTAAGTATATTCAACAATTTCACCTTAGGGTTTAAAGACAGAACCTAAATTTATTACCTTTGACCAAAATCAATAATTTTTGCTTTTGAACTTGCTAAGTTAATAGTAGTAGCAGCAGTACTGTTAGTGGTAACAGTGATGGTAACAGTAGCAGCAGCTAATATTTATTGAGCTCTTACTATGTGCCACCATCATTCAAACCTCTCTAAGTCTATTATTAAATTTAACCTACCACAACACCCAGCTATTTTTTGTTACAGTTGCCACTGCTATTTTAGCTGGCTGGGGGCCGGGTTCAAACCCACCATCCTCAGTATATGGGGCCAGCGCCCTACCCACTGAGCCACAGGTGCCACTCAAGCCCAGGAGTTTAAAATCAGCTTGGGCAATATAACAAGATACCACCTCAAAAATAAATGAATGAATAAATAAATAAATGTACAAGTGTTCAGGGAACAGGAAAGCAAGATAGCTAAACCCTTAATAGAAAGATAAAATTTCGGGTGGTGCCTGTCACTCAGTGAGTAGGGTGCTGGCCCCATATACCAAGGGTGGCGGGTTGAAACCCAGCCCCGGCCAAACTGCAAGAAAAAAATGGCTGGACATTGTGGTGGGCACCTATAGTCTCAGCTACTTGGGAGGATGAGGCAAGAGAATTGCCTAAGCCCAAGAGCTGGAAGTTGCGGTGAGCTGTGACACTCTACCGAGGGCAACAAAGTGAGACTCCCTCAAAAAAAAAAGAAAAAGGTTTTTTAAAAACACAATTTCAATTTAAGTTGGTTTTAATCGAAATTTACAGTGCCCCTGAGCCAAATATCTCTACTCAAATGCAACTATAAAATATTAACAAGAATAGATTCTTACCAGGCAGAGAAGTTTAAAATGTCATCCAAATTTTTAAAGTAAGGGTATGTGTCTTCTTTTTTGGGAGATAATCCCAGCTAATAATCATATAATTCCTGGGATTTTATAAAGTCCTAAAGGAAATAGAGATGATCTGTTTATAAATTGTTTCCTATTTTGTACCTTTCATTGCCTTATGATGAAATTTCTTATAAATAACTTTTAAGGTAACATTTCACATTGGACTACTACTTTTCAATGTCATTAAAAGCAATTGAAAGAAAGTAAAAAATAAATAAATAAATAAATTTAACCTAATAGCAGCTCTATCATTGGCTATAAACCAACAAAGGTAAGTTTGTTTAGCTGGATACACAAAAAATTAATTTTTTTCTTTCCTTGTTTTAGTTATTAGAAAAATTAAAAGAACGTTGGCTCTCCACTGGCTTGTGGCATAATTTGGAGTTGGTGAAGACCGTCATTGTAGAACCACAGGGAGGAGAAAAAACTAACTTTGATGAATTACTGCAGTTATACTATGATGCGATCAAGTTTAAAGGAGAGAAAGGTAACTGGAAATTATTTCATAGTCAGTGAAAAATATTTTTAATTATAAAGTAAGAAGATGTTGGTGCTATTAGAATTTTATTTATATTATATTTTTAAGTGGTGAAAAGAATGTAAATTGGGTAAAGAAATTATTTTATTTAGAATTGTCCTTGTATGAATATTTTCACTTAGGTGTGCCAATTCAACTTAATAAACAGCATACCTTTAGATCTTATCCTATAGTTCTTGCATTCCTGAAATATTTTGTGCAAGAAGGCAGCTAATATATGTATAAATACCTTCCCCTTACTAGCTAAATGAGACCTGTATTTTGATGCAAATAGTATACTTTGTGCTTATATTCTATTATACCATTATAAGGTAAATTAGAGTTTTCAAAATATAACTGAAGACTCAACTTCTAGGTTAGAGAATGTCCATACAGAGTTTAGTGTAAAAGGTTAATAGAAATAACTTAAGAATAATAAAATAGTAAAAATAATATAACATAATTAATAAGAATATATATAGTGTTCTGTGTATTTTAAGTACTTTTCAATACAATATTTATTCAACGTGATAATTTTACAAATTTGAGTTAACTTGTTCTGAGAATTTTACTTTCTAGTGGTAAAGATATGATTGTAATTTAAATTTTTATAAAATAATACTATTTATAATTGCTCAGTTCCTATGCAAGTTGCTCTCCTAGTGTGGTTTTACTGTATAAGTTATCTCTGAGATGAACAGTTTGTAAATTGGTTTGTTACTCTATTGCATATATATATGATTTTGTCCCTCTTATTTACTTAAAGACATTGAACTTCTAAAATTTGTCTCATAATTGTGTTTTATAAGATTTTAAATATGCTATTATAGTTAACAATTTGGCCTTTTTGAAATGACAGTGAACAATTTCTGAGGATTTTGAGTATGCTTTTAAAATGTCTATTTTCTGTTGCTTAAGATGGGGCCCTCCTGGTAGCAGTGTGTCGTGGTAAAGTGAGTGAGGGTCTGGATTTCTCAGATGACAATGCCCGTGCTGTCATAACAATAGGAATTCCTTTTCCAAATGTGAAAGATCTACAGGTAGGCCACTTGAAGCCTTAAGAAGTTTTATCATCACAAGAGTCATTGGTTTTGTGTAAAATTAATTACAGGCATACCTCATTTTACTGTACTTTGCTTTATTTTCTTTTTTACAAATTGAAGGTTTGTAGCACTCCTGCACTGAGCATGTCTTTTGGCCCCAGTTTTCCAATAGCATGTGCTCACTTTATGTCTCTGTATCACATTTTGCTAATTCTCATCATATTTTAAACTTTTTCATTATTATATCTTTTGTGATCTGTGATTGGTGCTCTTTAATATTACTGTTTTATTATTTTAAGGGTGCATCAAACCGTGCCCATATAAGAAGGCAAATTTAACTGATTAACTGTTAGGCATGTTCTGACTGTTCCACTGATTAGCCCTTCCTTGTTTCTCTTTCTCTCTTCTGCCTCCCTTTTCCCTGAAACAAAACAATATTGAAACTAAGCCAGTTAATAACTCTATAATTGTTTCTACATATTTGAGTGAAAGGAAGAGTTATATATCTCTCACTTTAAATCAAAAGCTAGAAATGGTTACACTTAGTGAGGAAGGGATGTCAAAAGCTAGACCTATTGTATCAAGAAGCCAAGTTGTGAATGCAAAGTACTTGAAAGAAATTAAAAGTGCTACTGTAGTGAACTCATGAGTGATAAGAAAGCCAAACAGCTTTATTGTGGATTTGGGGAAAGTTTTAGTGGTCTGGATAGCTTAAACCATCCATAACATTCCTTTAAACCAAAGCCTAAGTTAGAGTAAAGTCCTAACTCTCTTCAGTTCTGTGAAGGCTGAGAGAGATGAGGAAGCTGCAGGAGGAAAGTTTGAAGCTAGCAGAAACTGGTTTAAGAGGTTTAAGGAAACAAGCCATCTCCCTAACATAAAAATGTAAGGCGAAGCAGCATTTGCTGATAGAGAAGCTACAGCAAGTAGTGCAAAGGGCAGTGTAGATGAAACAGCTTTCTGTTGGAAGAAGATGCCATCTAGGACTTTCATATAGCTAGAGAAGAGAAATCAATGCCTGGCTTCATATCTTCAAAGGGACAGACTGACTTTCTTGTTAGAGACTAATAAGGGCTGATGACTTTAAGTAAAGCATGCTCATTTACCATTCTGAAAATCCTAGGGCCCTTAAGAATTACATTAAATCTACTCTGCTTGTGATGTATAGATGAAAAAACAAAGCGTGGATGACAGCACATCTGCTTATAACATGGTTTACTCAGTATTTATTCTAAGCCCCTGTTGAGAACTACTGCTCAGAAAAAATGATTCCTTTCAAAATGTACTACTGCTCAGAAAAAATGATTCCTTTCAAAATGTTACTGCTAATTGACAGTTCACCTAGTCACCCAGGAGCTCTGATGGAGATATACAAGGAGATTAATGTTTTCATGCCTGCTAAAAATATATCCATTCTGCAGTCCAAGGATCAAGAAGTAATTTTGACTCTCAAGTCATATTATTTAAGAAATACATTTTGTAATGCTTTAGCTGCCATAGATAGTGATTTCTCTGATGGATCTAGATGAAGTAAATTAAAAACCTTCTGAAAGGATTCACTATACTACATACTATTTAGAACACTAACGATTCATGAAAGGAGGTCAAAATATTAAAATTAATATGTTTTTGGATTAAGTTGATTCCAAACATAGATGACTGAGAGATTCAAGACTTAATTGGAGAAAGTAATTGCAGATGTGATGGAAATCGCAAGAGAACTAGAATTAGAATTAGAGATGTGACTAAATTGCTGCAATCATGATAAAACTTGAACATCCTTCTTAAGGATGAGCAAAGAAAGCTGTTTTTGTTTTAAAGCTGAGTGGATTTTTATTCCAAATTTATAGAATTAACCCTTACATATCACAATAACATATACAAGATAACTAACATGATATATTTTTTTTTCACAGAGAGATCCTTTTATTTTTATTATTAGATCATATTTGTGCACATTAATTCTATCATGGGATACAGTGTGTTGTTTCCATACACAATTTGAAATACTTTCATCCAGTTGGCCAACATAGCCATCATGTCATCCTCATAATTGTTGTATTAAGACATTTATATTCAACATTTAGAAAGATTCACATGTACCCTTATAGGAAGAAAGTTGTTTTTTGGGACAGAAACTATTCTTAGTGAAGAAGCTGTGAACATCACTGAAATGATTAAAAAAAAAAAAAAAGACTTAAAATATTCCATGAACTTTATTGATAAAGCAGCAGCAGGGTTTGAGAGGCTTGAATCCAATTTTGAAAGAAGTTCTACTGTAGGTAAAATGCTGTCAAAGCATTGAGTGCTACAGAGAAATGTTCATAAAAGGAAGAGCCAATTGATGTGGCAAACTTTACTGCTGTCTTAGTTTAAGAAATTGCCACAGCCACCCCAACCTTTAGCATCCACCACCCTGATCAGTCAGAGGCCATTAACATCAAGGTAAGACTTTCCATCAACAAAAAGATTTAAGACTCACTGAAGTTTCCGATGATTATTAGTCCTTTTTAAGCTATAATGTATTTTTAAACAAGGTACATACATTGTTTTTGTAGACATAATGCTATTGCACACTTAATAGATTGCAGTATAGTGTAAACATAATAGGGTACAGAGAACCGGGTTACATTGATTCCATTTGTTAGGTAAAGTCCCTCTTAAACATAAATTTTATATGCACCAAGAAACTAATGTGACTTGCTTCATTGCCATAGTCACTTTAACAGTGGTTACAGTGGTCTGCAACCAAACCCACAATATCTCTAACATATGCCTGTATGTTTTTCTTTTTCTTTTTTGAGACAGAGTCTCACTATGTCGCCCTAGGTAGAGTGCTGTGATGTCACAACTCACAGCAACCCCAAACTCTTGGGCTTAAGTGATTCTCTTGCCCCAGCCTCCTAAGTAGCTGGGACTACAGGCACCCACCATAACACCTGGCAATTTTTTGTTGCTGTTGTAGTTGTCATTTTTGTTTGGTAGGCATGGGCCAGGTTTGAACTTGCTAGCCCCAGTATATGTGGCCAGCGTCCTAGCCACTGAACTATAGGCCCCAAGCTCTGTATGTTTTTCTTGTATCCTCAGACATTTAATTTGCAATCTTTGGTGATTATGAATGAGTGAGAAAAACTTGGTAGATTTAAGTTCATTTTATTTTCTACGTACACTGTTGTTCAGTCAGTAAGGGTGATTTTTCAAAGTGTAGTCCTGGGTCAGGGGCATTGGTATCACCTGGGAACTTGATAGAAATACAGACTTTCTGGTTCATCCAGCCCCAGTGAATCAGAAACTCTGCAGGTGCAGTTCATCAATTGTGTTCTATCAAGCTCTTCAATACAGACTCAGTCCATCTAGCACTCTTCTTCCCAGGGCTCTGTCTCTCAGATTTTGTGATTTTAGCTGCACCCGATTCTGATCCTTTCCATTTCAGCTCAACAGGACCACTGCACTTTGCTTGTATTTAAATGTTCCATACTGTGGTCAGGAAATTATATTGCAGGCAGAGAGCTAGTAATAATGAAGTTCACCTAATGAATTCCTCTTATCTCCAGAATTACAGTCTTGTGCCATCTAGTGTCTACTCCCTGAAGGCTGTTGCTCTACTTGGCCCAGTTATACAATTACTTACAATGGAAGAAACATTTCCAAACTAGTTACTCGATCATAGCCAAAAGTAGGAGTTTTGTCTCCGTATCACTGTTTTCTAAACAATATATTTGAAAACCACAGGAATAATTTGAAGCCTGAGGTGTAGTTCTTTCATCAGAAAGGATATTTTATACCTTCCTTGAAGGTGCTAATTATCTGAGACCAAAACTTGAAGCTTTCTGGCCGCTAAGCTAACTCTGAGTATGATCCATGTCCCTCCACTTAGGTTGTATAAAGTCTCATACCAAAGCAAGGGTTCATTAGTAAAGTAGTTATCTTCTTTATTGTTAATACTTTACTAAGCACTGTGAATTATGCAGTTTTACTTTTATTTCTCTAGGCTAGGTGTCCTCAAACTGCAGCCGTCCTAGGACATGTGGCCCGCCAGGTGTTTTTGCCGCCACTGCCTATCCTGCTTAGTAGCTGACTCGTCCCGGGGCCTGCAGTCCGGCCCTCCAACGGTCTGAGGGACAGTGAACTGGTCCCCTGTTTGAGGGGGGGACCAGTTTGAGGAAAAAAAAGTTTGAGGACCCCTGCTCTAGGCCATAGCTGTCTTTGAGGAACTTGAATAGTTATAAAACAGTATTTCTCTTGTTAGCGCCTATTCTTCCCATAACTTCTTGACCTCCTCATAATTTCTGAAAGTCTGCAGGGGGATATCTCACCTGATGATTCATAATCGAATCCTTTTAGCCTCCACTGACTTTGATGGCTTCCATGACCTTTCTCCAATTACTAGTGCTCTAACTGTGAGGGCACTGATGGCCCATGCCCTAGGCATGCTCCCTATCCTAAAATGACTAATGTTGCCTTGACTACTGCTACTGATGAAACAATTGACATCTACTCAAGAAAACTATTGTGTTCACCATCAATAGCATTAGTGCTGTCTTCCACTGAAGATGAGTATTAGTGATGGATGGCACTGCTGTTGATACCAGTATTGTTTCCTTTTGTCTTATTGTTTTACTCTGGCCTCATATGATTGTACTAATCCCACTTTGTTAAAGTATAGAGAATCTCTTTTCTTTTATATCGCATGTTTTTAAAACCTTTTTTCCCCCAACTTCTTATAGATAGGGTCTCACTCTTTTACCCAGGCTAGAGTGCAGTGGCATCACCATAGATTACTACAACTTTAAATTCCTGGGCTCAAACCATCCTCTTGCGTCAGCCTCCTGAGTAGCTGGGACTATAGGCATGCTCCTCTATGTCTGGCTGATTTTTCTATTTTTAGTAGAGATGGGGTCTTGCTGTTGCTCAGGTTGGTTTTGAACTCCTGGCCTCATGCAATCTTCCTGTCTTGGCCTCCCCAAATGCTAGGATTATTGGCCTGAGCCATCACACACCTGGCCCCAGCATCTTACTTAATTAATTTTTTCCCTAAAACTAGTTCTTTCAATTTTTGCCTATATCTTCTTTCTTAGGCATACGTATGACTTCTTGATATCTGTAAAAGAAGATAAACATTGGTTCGGCGCCTATAGCTCAACCGGCTAAGGCACCAGCCACGTACACCTAAGGTGGCGGGTTCGAATCCCCATCCCGGACCCGCCAAACAACAATGACGGCTGCAACCAAAAAATAGCCGGGCGTTGTGGTGGGCACCTGTGGTCCCAGCTACTTGGGAGG